TGTATTTTTTAACCTGAAAGGCATCACTTGATAGCAGTACGTCCCTTGCTCGGTTATGAACGAAGTTTTCTCTTGGTCACTGGGATCCATCCCGATCTGATTGTACCCCGAGAAGGTATTCATGAAGTTGAGGAGCTCATGTCCCGCAGTGGCATCTACAATCAAATCTATCCGAGGTAAAGGAAAACTATCTTTCAGGCAAGCACGGTTGAGGTTTGTAAAGTCAATGCAAAGACGCCATTTGTCGTTTGTCTTCTTGACTAGGACTACATTGGCTAGCCAGAATGGGTAATCCACTTCTCGAATGGATTTTGCATGAAGGAGCTTTCTGACCTCGTCGTTGATGGCTTTCTGACGCTCCGGGGCGAAGCTCCCCCTCTTCTGCTTAATAGGCTTATAGGCTGGATTCACGCTAAGCTTGTGAGTGATGACAGAGGGATCAATCCCTTTCATGTCCTCTTGCTTCCATGTAAAAACTTCCTTGTTCCTTTTCAGGAATTGGATGAGGAGATCCTTGATCTCCTTGCTCAGCTTGGATCCAACGTAAATAAGATGCTCTGGCTCCTCATCGATTTGAATAGGTTCCAGCTCTTCTGATGGTGTTGGCCTGGTCTCGAGTTCATCCCTCATGTCCAGCTCATCTGATTGGATGCTCTAAACCTCCTTATTTTTCATGGATGCCATGTAGCATTCCCGTGCTACGCGATGGTCTCCTCGGACTACTCCAACTCTGTTTTCTATTGAAAACTTCACTACAAGGTGATAGGTAGAGGGAATAACTCTTATAGAATTGAGCGAGGGTCTTCCAAGGAGCATATTGCATGCTGAAGGTGCGTCAACCACTAAGAATTTCACAGCTGTAGTAGTCTGACATGGTGGGTCACCTAAGGTCAAGATGAGTTGAATTGACCCCAAGGGCAGCACCCTTTCTCCTGAGAATTCCAATAGTTAGGCACTTACTTGTTCAAGATTTTCCCTTCCTATATCCATTTTTTCGAAAGTAGAAGCAAAAATGATGTCTGCCGAGCTGTCATTGTCAATCAAAATACGATGGATAGTCCTGTTGGCCACCACTGCTCTTACCACCAATGGGTTGTCGTGGGGATGCTGGCAACCCTCCAGATCTGAATCTGAGAAAGTGATAACCGTGTCTAAGCGTGGAGATTTAGACACAGTATATACTTCGGGAGCTTCTGTGGCTCTGATTTTTTGCAAGTGGGCCTTCTGGCAGAGCTGGATCCTCCTCCCCTGGTAAATCCTCCAGATATCACTCTGATCTCCCCCATAGGTTGCTGCTGTGGATCTGGTGCTTGATGCTAAGGGGGTGGGGGTGGGGTGGGAGAGGTCAATTTTGATTATCATTGGCCATATAACGTTGCAACTGCCCTTGCCAGATTGAAAATTCTATTTCCCTCTTCAATTGGATACAGTCGTCGGTGTGATGACCATGGTCTCTGTGGAAATCACAATACTTCGTAAGATCCCTTTTTGCCGGGTCTACTTTCATTCAGTGTGGCCACCTTAAGAACTTCTCATTTTGCACCTTATACAGTATCTAAGACACTCTAACAGTTAGGGGGTGCGCTGTCGGGGTGCATCCTCGGTTGTAGCTCTGGTTGTGGAGGGCCGAGGCGATCCCTGACATTTTTTCTTCTCTTCGGAGAACGCTTTCTGTCTCTTCTTGGAGACCTGCCTCGTTGTCTTTCTTTTCTAGGACTTCATTCTCTCTTCTTTTTTCCTTCCCTTTCTCCTTTCTCGACGAAGAGCTCCCGACCTTAGAGAGGAGCACTTCCTCACCATTTATATACTTTTATGCTTTGGCGAGCACCTCCGCCATACTAGTCTGGGGGTTCTTTGAGATAGAAAACATCAGGTCTTTTGACTGAACCCCCAAACCTGCTATGAAGGCTGTAATAGCAAATTTTTCGTCTGGGACATCTACCTTCAAGAATTCTGAGTTGAACCGTTGGACATAAGACCGTAAGTTCTCATCAGGTCCCTGTTTCACATTTAAAAAATGGTAGCTTGGTTTTCTATAGGTCTGAGCTCCAATGAAGTGGGACACAAACGAGATTGACAGCTCTTTAAAAGAGAAAATCGAGGCTAGGGGGAGTCTGTTGAACCATGCTAAGGCTGACCCTTTCAGGGTCATAGCAAAGGCCCTACATCTCACTAGATCTTGATATTCATGCAGCTCCATTTGGTTTTTGTAGGTGTTGAGGTGGTCCACGGGATCTTTTGTCCCATCGAAAGCATCCACCTACGACATTCTGAATTTATGTGGGAGATGGAATTGCAGGATCCCAGCAGTGAATGGGGATTCGGTTTGCTGCACCAAGGCATCTATAGTGACTGGGGCCTTGCTCTTCACTGCCTCCTTCATCTGGCTGAGCTCTTGCTGGATGTCCTTGAAACGTTGCTCCCAATGGTGTTCTCTTCTCTCTTGTTGATAAGGGAAGAAGTCACTCCTCTCCCCTTCCTTATACTGACTTTGCACTTCCTCGTTGTGTCTATTCCTAGGGGGTAGTCGAGGTTCTTGCCCGAAGGTCTGGCTATTCTCTCCCACCTCATTAACTTCTCTAAGGGGGTCGAGGTGCAGTTGCTCTCTTGGTGGTGGGTTATTCTGGCCTCCTTGGGCTGGTCGTGCCTCCGGTGGGCATTGTAGGAGCTTTAAGAGCTCTTCATTCTGTTTTATCAAACTTTCCATCTCATCATTCATGGGAAGGTCCCCCCCCCTATGGGGGATATGCTTCTTGAGCGTTTTCGGGTTGCCTGTTATTTGCGACTTCCTGTTGATCTTGCATCCGTAGAGGATTGGTCTGACTTCAGCTCATGTTTCGTGTTGATACCATCAGTCACTGAAAAATCAGCTTTATTTGTAATAGGAACAGTCGTTCCCACAGACGATGTCAAACTAATGGTATATTTCAGCGTGATGAGAATTTGTGATGACGTGTATTTCAGCGTGATGAGAATTTGTGATGACGAGTAAATGAAAGAAAACAATATTGGAATTATTGGGATCTGAGCTACTAGACTCGAGTGAATGATACTGAGAATTGTCGAAAAATTAACACAGTAGGAATATAGTGGTTCATCAGCTCGAAAGCTCGGTTAATCCACTCTTTAATGGAGATTCTTGCTCCTTGTCTTTCAATAATGATGATTGCAAGAGTACAATGACTAGTTTTTGCCTCTAGGGTTCCTCCCTTTCCTTGGGGGCGTTACATAGTATTTATAGGGCTGTTCCCTATTCAGTGGAATCTTAGCTGAGATTATTGCCCTTATTTCGTGGGGTTCTCCTTGATTAAAGGAGAAGATCTTGGTTGGTTGCGATTAGATGCCTCGATTATTGCTTCCTAACGCTTTTAGGAACCTCTCGTGATCTTTCAACTGTTGCCTTAGTTGTTATTGCCCTTGCTTATCTCGAAGGGACCTCCAGCTCTACTCTTTCGAGTTCTGTTCGTCTAGTCTGACCTCCTGAACTAAGCTGACCTCCTGAGATGATGTTTGAAATTTATTTTGAGGTATCATCAATTTTTGTTAATCATTATTTATCATCTCTTTTGCATACTTTTGTCCATCAATATTACCCAAGAAAGTTTTGAAATAAAGCTCTGAACCATGCTTGCATCCAGCATAACAGCAGATGACAACTCCAGTGACCAATGGGCAAAGCATTCGGTTAGGTTGGGAGTTAAACTCTCAATGCGTACACAACAACATACTTTTGGAATTACCTCTCAAGTCTGACAAAATCATTTTATTTAGGTTATCTCCACTCCACTTAAATTCTTACTCAAATTTAAATTTAAAAAAAAACCAGACTAAAAAAATAAGTCTTTACCAAATAAAGAAAAACTCAACTTTTTACTCAAATTATGACAAACTTAAATATTTACTCAAATTTTTAATGGTTAGAATTCACTTTTTAAAAGATCTAATTGTCATATTTCACATTTACTTAAATTTGAGTTTGTTCTTCTTTAATTTAAATTTGCTATTATTTAAATTTAAATTTGTCATCAGAGTGTATTTTACCAAATCAAACTTTTTACTCATTTTTTTATTAAAGTTTGAGTTTGAGTTTGGACCAACATTGAGACAAAAAACAAATCAAAGCCCATATCATCAGTGGGAGGGAAAGAATTAGGCGGACATTTTATCAATCGAGTCTAACAAGATTTGATCACCTACCGTTTTAAAGAAGGGCACTGCACACACCATTGTTCCACTTGCTATCAATCAGATGGTACAAGATGAAAAGAACAGTTTAACAATTCATTTTTTAACAGACTTCCCAAACAAAGTTCTCGTTTTTCAACTCACAAAATTTGTTTACTAAATTCCCTTTTGCACATTGACCACATCCAAAAAATTTAGTATGCTTTATATTTAAGTATGATGAATGTGTTGCGTCATTTGGTAAATTTGACATAGAAAATTTATTACACAAAAAACTTTACAGCACTCAAATATTAAGGTAAGGGGGAAACACCACGCTGGGGCATGGCTCAATGAACACGCTAGAAGCAATTTTGGATCAAAAAAGCCAGAGATTCAAGCTGCAAAGCAAACTACATATGTAAACATATTTATAGTATATATTGGCGAAGATACACCAAGACAAAATAATACCACCCTGGTTTGGATGGCTGCGCTCAATACGCTTTCTTTTCCTTAGCTATATATATGTTGTGGGTTCAATTCCTCCCATTCACCTACAATTTACTTAAAACGTCAAATTTCCTCTCATTTTGATATATTGGCGAAGATACCTCTCAATTTGTGGTGTGCTTGTGCACACCACAAATTGGAACCCCACACCTGCCTTTATCATCGAAGTCATTATCTTGGCCTCTTGAGGCCTACTTTAGTTCCATCTTCATCATCACCACTCCAATTTTGACATGAAACTCTCTTTCACACCTCTGCAAACCCGACTTCTCAAATCCACAACAAAACCCACATCTCCTGCTCCATTCTCACCCTTACCGATCCTAAACCTCACCCTCACCGATCCTAAACCTCACCCTCTCTCTCCTCTCCGGCAACTCCATCTTCCCTTCTTTCTCCACCACCCTCTCACCACCCCTACTTGACACCAAACCCCATTTCTCCCCTTCATTATCCTCCTTCTGACCCCTCTCACCACCAACCCCCACCGGAAAAGCAGGCAACCACTCTGGAATGTGACTCAACCTACCACTACCACTACCACTACCCTCCTTCAAGCTGCTTAAACATGGCGGCGAACCCATTTTTCTGGACAAAAAATAATGCCTAGGAATTGGCTTAGCAAATGGGATTTCATCAGTGTACTCCACAAATTTCATTATGTCAATCAAAGTGGATGAATCGAATAGCATAAGCTTTACATTAGATGCCCCACGAAACCCCTGGACAGAATTTAACTCTTCGAGGGCATGGACGATATCGAGGAGGCTCCACTGAGTACGCCCAGCGTAGTTGGCGGAGGCGGCGGCGGAGTTGGCCAGGGCACGGAGGTACCTGGCGGCGATGTCGGTGAAGGTTTCCAAGGCTGAGGTTTGGGTGGCTTTGAAGCCCACGGATTGGCAGACTTGTGACACTGCGATTTTGGTGATTGTGAAGGAGAATTGTGGTGGGGTTAATTTGGACTCTTTGGTTTGTGATTTCATGGTGAATTTGAGGGGTTTCGGAAAAGAGGTATTTGCAGAAATTTGTCTCAAAACCCTAGTATTGAGTGAATTTGTGTAACTGGTTTAAAATGGTTTAAGTTCGCTGTTTTATTGGCCTGCCAAATAAATTTTTTTTTTAAAAAAAAAGAAACTCTAAAGGCTTGGTCCGGCTAGGGTGAAAAAAAATGATTGAAAGGGAAAATAATAGAAAGAGAAATAAAATAAAAAAATGATAAAAAAATATATTTGTATGTTTGTATTTGATTAGAATCAAAAACTTTATGAATAGTTTCAAAAGATTTCATTCTATTATTTGAAAGGAAATAAAGTTACAGAAAAAATTATAACTGTCTAAATTATTTTTAATTATATTAAATCTGATGATACATAGAAAATTTTTTAAAGTATGAGGTCAGACGCGAAGGTCAGATAAGGAAGTCAGACAAGACATGCAGAGCTCAGAGGACCGAAGTCAGAGCTCCCCTCCAAACGAGACAATAACGAAAATGATAAAGGAACAAATGGATGTTAACATGAACCCTACAAACGGCAAAAAGTCATATTCAAGGTGCAAAACCTTCAACCAACCAAGTTACTTTCCAAAAATCAAGGAGGAATCTACGGATGAAAGGCTAGGATCTCGGCAGAGATCCCACAGATCAAGGAATAGCTCTATAAATATTGTATAATACCTCCAATACAAAAAAAAAACCGTTAGCTGCATAAAAGGCAATTTGTAAATTTTATTCCTCATTATTATTAAAACAAAAGGAGCAAGAATCTTCATTGAAGAGTGGATTAACTGAGCTCCCGAGCTGGTGAATCACTATATTTTTACTGTATAAATCACCTCAATCCCTGAAAATCATTGATCTCGGTCCTCACGAGCCTAGTAGCTCAGACCCCAATTGAAAAGTATAATTCCAACCTTCTGTTCGTCCACGTTAACTTACACCATTAGTTTGACGCCTTTTATGGGAACAACAGTTCTCATTACAAGTACATTGATCCTTCAGTAACTGATGGTCTCAACCCGCAACATGAGCAGAAGCCAAATGAAGCCCCCACAAATGCAGAACCAGTAGGAGAACACAAGTAGACATCACGAAGATCCACAAGATTTCTTCCCAACCGCTGATGTCAATCCTCTTATGGTGGATCCTCCCACAAACAACGAGTTGGAGGCCCTCCGTTTGGTCAATCAACGCCTATTAAAGCAAAATGAAGAACTCATGAAGCTTTTACAATGACCACAGGAGAAACAACCAGCCCAAGGAGGCCATCCCCCTATAGGGAACAACGACCTTTCAACCCATTCCGGGAAGCCGACGAAGGAGGAGAAAATAGCCAGGCTCCCCAACTTCCTATGAGAAACGGAGACAATGAAGAGGTGCAGAGCCAAAGTAATGAGATTGAGAAGAATAACCTTCACCCAGTCCAGCAGGAGCGCAAAGACCAATATTGAGAGCAGCGCTTCAAAGATATTCAACAGGAGCTCAACCACATGAAGGAGGTCGTGAGGGGTAAAACCCCAGTAACCATGGAAGCCTTGGTGCAACAAATTGAGTCCCCCGTTTACTCCTGGGGTATTACATTTTTCCCTCCTGCCGAAATTCAGAATGCCACAGGTAGAAACTTTTGATGGAACCAGAGACCTCATGGACCACCTGAACACCTATAAGAACCAGATGGAGTTGCATGAATATCAAGATCTTGTTCATTGTCACGCATTTTCCATAACCTTGAAAGGATCAGCCTTAGCATGGTTTAACAAGCTTCCCCTACCCTCGATCTCCTCATTCAAAGAGCTCTTGATATCCTTTGTGTCTCACTTTATTGGAGCTCGGACATACAGAAAGCCGAGCTACCATTTGCTGAATGTGAAGCAAGGACCTCAGAAAAACCTAAGGTCCTATGTTCAAAGATTTAACTCAGAATCCCTAAAGGTAGATGTCCCAAGTGAAAAGTTCGCAATTACTGCTTTCATAGTAGGATTGGGAGTACAATCAAAAGATTTGATGTTCTTCATATCCAAGAATCCTCAAGAAAGTATGGCCGATATGTTGGCTAAAGCAGAGAAGTATATCAATGGCGAGGAAGCTCTCCTTTCAAAGGTAGGGAGCTCGTCTTCGTAGAAAGGTAAGGAGAAGGAAGAAAAGAAAAGGGATTGAAGTCCTAGGAAAGAAAGAGAAAGAAACATGTCTCCAAGAAGAGAAAGATCCCCCAGGAGTGATAGAGAACGTTCCCCAAAAAGGAGGAAAAATATCATAGATCGTCTAGGCCCCCCATAGCCTGAGTTACAGCCGAGATATGCACCTCAGTAGTATATCCCACTCATTGCCACAGTATCCTAGATCCTGTATGAGGTGCAAAATGAAAAGTTCCTAAGATGGCCTCCTCGAATGAAGGTAGATCTAGCAAAGAGGGATCCTACGAAGTATTGCGAGTACCACAGAGATCACAGTCACCATACTGATGACTGCATCCAGCTCAAGAAGGAGATTGAGTTCTTGATCCAAAGGGGACAGTTACGCCGTTTTATTGCCCATGATACTCAGAACAGAGCTCCACCGCCCCCAGCACCTCAGCAGCAAGCCCCGTGCAGAATCAACAACCCCCAGGAGAAATCAGAGTAATATTAGGAGGATTTGCAGGAGGAGGGGAATCCAACTCGGCTAGGAAAGCTCACTTGCGTAGGATCAGAGCTGATGAAATGCTGGAAGTACATACTGTATCCAAGACTCCGCGTCTGGACATACCTATCACTCTCTCAGACTCTAATCTGGAAGGCTGCCAACATCTCCATGATGATCCCTTAGTAGTAAGAGCGATTGTTGCCAACAGAACTGTTCATCGAGTTCTGATTGACAACAGGAGCTCTGCAGACATCATCTTTGCACTAGCGTTTAATAAGATGGATATAGGGTAGAGAAAAGTTTCAACTAGTAACCACCCACCTGTTGGGATTCTCAAGGAAAGAGTACTTTCACTTGGGTCGATTCAGCTCGTGCTCATAATTGGGGACCCTCCCTATTAGACCTCCACTTCTGTAAAATTTTTTGTAGTTGATACCCCTTCGGCGTATAACATGTTGCTTGAGAGACCTTCCCTCAATGCAATGAGGGTTGTATCTTTAGCATACCACCTGGTTATGAAGTTTCCTACGAAAATGGGGTTGGTACTGTCCCAGGAGACCAACGTGTGGCACGAGAGTGCTACATGGCGTCTGTCAAAAGGAAAAAGGTTGAAAATATTCAACTGGATGAGCTCGACATAAGGGATGAACTGGACACCAGACCAACACCATTGGAAGAGCTAGAACCAGTTCAGCTTGACGAAGAACTAGAACATCTTGTCTACATAGGATCTAAGCTGAGTAGGGAAATCAAAGACCTCCTCATCCAATTCTTGAAGGAGAATGTTGGAGTGTTTGCTTGGAAGTAGGAAGATATGGCAGGAATCGACTCCTTCGTCATCTTACAAAAGCTTAGTGTGAACCCCACCAGTAAACCCGTTAAACAAAAGAGAAGAAGTTTCGCCCCTGAGCGACAGAAGGCCATTAATGAAGAAGTAAGCAAGTTTCTGCATGCCAAAGCCATTAGGGAAGTAAATTATCTCGTCTGGTTAGCTAATGTGGCATTACCATTTAAAAACATTCATGTCATGAGAGCAACTAAATAAATTTATCATTAAAGAACATCCTTAATTTAACAAAATTCGGGCAGAGTCTCCTTTGTACGGAGAACTCTACCTAAAACACAACCTGTGCAATTATACTACATTGACCACATCAGGTCCATATATGAATAAATATTGACTACACCAGGTCCATTTACTCATCAAATAATAAAATTTCATTCACCACATGTAATATCCACAATATCATCCAAAAAGAATAGGCCAAGCTATGACACTTACATTCCAAAAGAATTATACTCAAACTTAGCAGCGGAATAAACAAAATACTAGACTATACATGATCGTAAATAAATTCCCTAGTCTAGTACAAACATAAATTATAGCTCTAGATGTCCACCTTATGATCTAGGTTTCCCTCTAGTGGAACCTCCCAACTTCCCAGCTCGTCAACACCGAGATCTTCCTCTAGCACAAAATCTGAAAAGAAAACATTATTGGTAAGGGGTGAGCACTAAGCTCTGTACGAAAATCCTCCCAAACTCTAACAAGGTTTGGAAAACGTAGAAAATGGTCGGTCTCATTTCACAAATAGCATACATAAATTTTGAAAGAGAACATGACATTTTCAAAGATCCCAAGTTTATACATTAGCAATAATTAAGTGGAAGAGTAAGTCAATTCCACCATAAATAACCATTCCAAAGAGTAATTATTCCCACAATAATTTTCAAGATAATCATATTCAAAAGATAACGTAATAAACAATAACCACAATGTATCTCAAGTCTAATGTAAGATAATCGCATGAATAAACACATCGAGAATATTCTGGCTCATACACACACAAATTCTCGCAAGGATATCAAAATTTAGAAAGGGCGCCTACCGATGCATTGTCCCATACCAATGCACCAGCAATAACGAATCCGACCCAGACATAGTATACTAATCATCTGACACGGCACCCATGAGCTAATAGTGGTTTGGTCCTCGCAAGGCACCAACCCCACTACGAGTGGTAGGAAAAGTTAAAACCCGCACGGAGTAAGAACCATACACATCTAACCACTCTACGATACCCGGTCAACGGCTACCCATGGTCATTCAAATACCTCTATGAGATATAATCACCAACAATTTCTCAACAAAAGTTCATAATTTTCAAAACCCCCAAATTCCATAGGTATTTTTCAAATCACATTAAATCTCAAAAATTCTCAATTTTCTCCCATATGATTCCAATAGAACAATTTAAGAAAAATATGCAAGAGATCATTAAACATATATTTTTATTGTTCAAAAAAAGCACTAGGGTTTTGAAATCAATAATTAAGAAATATCAAGAAGAAAAATCTCTATTT